AAGAAAGAAAGCATGTGTTTACTCTTGACGTCGAGTACTGTCAAATCGATTTTTTTACGAATTTTCGGAGAACAAATGATCTTATGAGTCTCATGCTCTAGAACTATAATTCTTAAGCTTAGAACATCTCAGAACAAAAAGATCTCGGTTGGAACAAGAAAGATAGTATAAATTTACTCTTGGTCCGATAGACTGTTTGTCAAAAAACTTTTTTTTAATTTTTCGGGCTTATAATTAAACTTATTGATTTGTGCTTTTGGAACAATGTTTGGAACAACTAGAACAATCTATTGCGGTATCAGAATGTTCGATTTTCGAAAAGTGGGGTGCCAGCTCAAAAAATCATTTTTTTTGTTTTATTCGAAAACCGTTTCGAATGAAGCAATATCACTTTGGAACAATGTGGTACAAAGTCAGAACAATCTGGAACAACTTTTAAAATTATAAATTTCAAAAAGTGGAGTGCCAACTTCATACAATCCTCGAAAGTTAACCCACGCGAGATACTCAGATCTGAATTTAGAGTTAAATTTGAGTTTATTTTTTTTTTTTATTTAAATCACATAATATGTGCGACATTACATTTGTAATTCAATTGTGATTCAATTGATAAACTTACATTATTTCTAAGTTCAAGTCTAAGTGTTTCACCCAAAGTAAATTTCAAGTAACGACTTTAACACGGGAGAAAAATATATTCTCAACACATATCTCTTTTAGGCTATCAGATTATGCATTTCATTCTGTGTTATAATATGAATTGTTATTGCAATCGAATTAATTGTTCATGAAACGCGGCAGAAAATCATTTCGGGCGGTACGAGTAATTTCTCGCAAGACTGACATCAAAACTCGAACAACCGATGGGAGACTTCCGTCTTTTTATAAATCGTTATAAAACTTATCATTATAAAACTTGGAAATGAAAAAAAGTACGACGAGGCACGAAAATATATCGCAAAAGACTCACACGTTCCACCAAATCGAGTCGAAGAGCGTGCAATGACGGTGACGACAGCGATTTTACAGCTGAGTTTTTTCCACCTCCGGGCAGATTGACCATTTGACCATTAATTCCAATCACACAGGCCGGTGACTTTTAATTACCAGTGAAATTCCCAGAGCATTGCCTGATGAGGAAAAAATTACCGCGCTCCAGGCTGACGCGGAACCTCCCTTCGGGGATCGAAGTCTCTTTTCTCTTTTTCTCTGTCCCTTCTGCTCCCTCCCCTTTCTCTCATCCTACTCCGCTTTTTTCGAGCGTTTTCGTTCTCGGTGGGTGATCGGGAACTAAATAGCCCGTTGTCATCGTCGTGTAGACGAGACATCGTTCTATTGCCGGTCCGGAACCGCGCGGGCCGCCGGGCATTCGGGCCGGAAATGAGCAAAGCGAAAAAACATGTTTGAACGCCGGGCCAAAGTGTCGGCGGGGCCTTGTGTCGGATGAGCAATTGAATAAAGTGGAGGCGTCAATATGTGACGACACTCGGATACGACGAGGGCGAGAAGGACGAGTAGTCGACGACCCCTTCGCGCCACCCCCCAGATAATCGCGCGTCGATCGGATCGATCGCCGGCACTTCGTTCCTGCTGTTCGCGAGACCTTTCACTCTGCCGGAAAACGCGAGGAGAAAGCTGCGCTTTTGTACTGTTGACATCGTGCGTCGATAAAACGTTCGCGATGCAAACGCACGTTTCCTCCCTTTGGAATTTTTACACAATCACGTCGCGTGAATAACGCGCCATGCTTTGCCGTTCGGCCACGGAGAGAACGCGGAGTTATTCGTCGAATCGTGAATTTTTATAGCTTCACATCGAGCACATGCTTATTAAGACGAAACAAGTTCTGACGGCAAACGCGCTATGAACTCGCGGGGAGGACGGCTCCGGTTTCCGGCATCATCGCTTCTGAAAATACGACGACGTCTTGGGTACGAACGGCGGCTGTATGTCTTACAATATGGACCTGCACGATAACCGTTAGGCCTCAAGGTTCATTATAATTATGTCGCGCTTAATCAGGATGCAGAGGAACCCGTTCTCGTTGTAGATCGTAAGAGAATATGCTAAGGAGAAGATAACGTATGGAAATGGTCTCGCCCGCTCTATTTCGCAGTCAGCGCAAGTCTCATCTGATAACCGCGTGTCGCGGTTTGTTATTTGTTTTGGCAAATTCGCGAAATGCCATCCTTGATTTCGCAAATGATCCTGAGCGCGAACGATATACTGGGAGACACTCGGAACGACGACAGATACGCAAATCCGCAGAAATACGTGTGAAACACACCTCAAGTAGAAAAATTTCCAGTAGAAACTGGTATGGTTTTTATCAATTAGAACTTATTAGACAGTAACTATCTAAAACACTTAGACAGGAAAATTCTGGCCAGACTGTCTTGGGACGTTATATGTCATGCGAGCGATTCACGTCCGTAAAATCTCTCGAGGCCTGAACAATCGCATCAAAGGTAAATCTTCGAAAATCGTCACGATAAAAACCAACCCCTCGCGCCTCGTCCCGCTGTCGTTGTCATCGCGGTAGGACGGAAGTGGTCGGGCCCTCGACGTTATTTCAATAAAGCAAATGGAATAGGCTCTGCACAGAGGTGGTATATTTTCCCATAGAATGGAAAAGAGGACAGGAGGCGACGCAGGGGGAGAAAGAGACCAGTAGCGGTGGGCTATGATGGAGCCGTCAGTACATCGTGATCCACGCATCATCAACATTGACGACCTCCGTCCGCTTTTTGGCCCCGACGGAGCCCCTCTTCTCAGAGCCATTGCGCTAGTTTACGAGCCTGCAGGGAGACCCGCCGTCTTCCTCTCTCTCTTTCCCTCTGCCTATCTTTATCTCTCTGTTATTGTCTCTCTGTCTATCTCTCTTGGTTTTCCCTGCCCGTGCTTCGCGGCACGATAGTTGTTGCCGATCAACGAACGCGTTTTCCGTAACCCGTGACACGTCACCGTCTAATTCGCCCTTCACGCCTTGTTAAACCGCGGTAACGTACCGTTTTACGATTTCGTCGCGAGCGCTCGCTCACGCCGCGCCGCCTGCGAATTGGCAATTGTTAATTAGCATTCTCGCGGAAGAGAGGAATAAAAGGGCACCCGAAGTGTCCTTCGGAGATTTATGATCGGTACGGGCGCGAGGGAGACTTGGAACGGAAACACACGGAAAAACGTAAGCAGCAAAACTTGAACAGTGAACAAATTGACCAATCACAGTCAATGATTCTTCTCACGATCCAAGAGTGATCGATTGTAGTCGGTTAATTTTTTTTTACTGCTTCATTTTCACAGCTTACGTTTCTCTGCATGCCTCGACTCCAACACTAAATTCCATACTTCAACCCAGCTTCTCCTTATTCTCTCTATTTCCTTATTCTCGCTAATTTCGTCCAATGTCCTGTACAATAAATGATTTGACACACCTGTAACGTATCGCTGCCACGTGCATCTGTTCCTCTCGGATAGTATCCATAGTGACCCTAGTAGTGGCACTGACACTGACACTCGCGCAGACACGACTCGATCGGAGAAACCGCGTGTTAATTAACGCGATCGACGAGAGAACCCGATTAAATATCTTACAATACGGTGAGAATGACGACTGATACAACGATACACGTGTCCCGCATCGCGACATGTATGTCGTTCGTCGACTCGAAACATAATGACTCGCTGATAGACAAGTACGCGACGTATACCAAAACAGTAAACAAAAAACAAACCGAATCTTCAAGCGCCGATCATTAAACATAGTCGGCTATCTATCAATAATATATACATACGAGAGAGCATAGCAATAACAAAACATTCGGGATTTTCAAAGTTATCAGAGTTGTAGCATGCTAGACATGATCTCGAGAATTTAAAAACTACATTGAGTATCGCGAATGCAGATTTACGCTCCTAGTTAATATCGCGTCTATAATTAATTAACCTTTTCGTTACTAATTTTGTTTTCTAAAAGTATAATTTTTTTTACTTTCACTTTATTAAATACGTTAATATATAATGTAGTTTTATCAAAAAAATTAAAAATTTTATGTTAAACGTCAAAGAAGAGCGAAAGAATCAAGTTTCCACTAATCCTATCTTATTAGCATTTGCCAATACCTTCTTTTCTCTTTTGTTTAAAGAATTATTATTTTGTTATGTTAATCACGATGAAAAGTGATATTTTCGAATCGAATAAAGTTTCATAATAAATTTCTCTTATATGGCGCTGTAAAGTTGCGCGAAACATTAATCGTGACGAGCCAGCAATGTGCAACAATGTGCAACGAGGTGCTCGATTCCGCGCGACGTTAATCGTCGGGTGAAAGTGCGTCACCTGGTGATGCGCAAGGTGATGCGAACATTATATGAAAATGAAGGTATGTTCGCACGCGTTCGGAAGACAAGGCGTCCCGACGTTTTCATTAAAGCGTAGGTACACCATGCGAGCACGATATGCGGGTCATTCTTAGATTAATAATTCATCGACAATTAGCCCTTCGCAGGTGGTCAGAATAAAATGCAAGGCGGCATATGTTTGTCCCGATGAATCATAGTAGAAATTAGCATAACTAACCCGCCACGAGATCATTAGCATATTCGTGTCGATAGGCGTGCACCGGGATCTCGCATGTTTGCCGCTCGTCGTGTACTCCCGACAGCACTCCAAAGTTATCACACAAGGAAGCGTCTTTTTCTCGCATCGTCGCGCTGCGCATTGCCTTCCGGCTTGCATGCAATTTTCAGAGATATACGTACGCGCGCGTTGCATACCGCATCGAGACTCGTCTCGTGTTCCTTCGATCCGAGACGTGTTAATGTTTGACAATATACGTTGAAGGAGAATGCGGCCCGTAAATTAATCTCGTTATTCAATTAGATGTAAAAAAAATACAAAAAAGAAGAATACTTGAACATGTAAATGGAAGTTGAATTCGGCCAATGCACATAAAAAAAATAATAATGGTTGACTACAAATAAATTTGGTAGTGCCAATCAGATTCAATAGTAAAATATGGAACAACTAATTATTTGGTTGCTGCAATCACGAAGCAATTACTGAGTTACAGTAATTACTCCATCCAATATCTGATTACTTCAATCGGAGTGTATCAAATGTATATGTATGGCAAATGTTATCTCAACCGATTTCTGATTACTACAGCCAGATCATGCGCAACTACATTGATGTAGTTAATATGTCAAGATAACTAAGTCATTAATTTGATCGTGCCAATCAGATTCAGATGTGTGAGTCAACTATACTATTTTTTTTATACATACATATCAGAAGAAGATAACTAGGGTGACGCAACTATACTATTCACAATTAAATATTTCTAGTTATGTGCGCCATATCTTTCTTTTCCGTACATACTTTCAGAAAACGTGCATGTCGTTGATAAGTTAACGTTTTTTTGTTTCATGTTCAAAAAAAAATCATACACTTAAATGAGAAAAGAGATTATGTTGATATCATTTTAAACGCGGTGTCCTGGCCCGCACGTTTTATTCCCTTTCATTTCGCTTCATGACGGATATTATTTTTTTCGATCTCGCGAGCTTTTTTTAAACAAAAATTTCGGGGTCGCCGTGATTGCGAATCAAACGCTTCCCGATGGCGAACGACCGCGTCGAAATACCGTCAAAGTAGTAAATCGACGGTACCTGGTCCGAATCGAGCCGGAAAATATTTAATTACTAAATCCGGAATAGCGGCACGTTGGCACGTCGCTCCACCCGCTCTCGCGCGTATCCCGCGGGGCATATTCACCGCATCGAGCTTCAATCACCCTCCGCGAATCGTACCTCTATTTCGGTAATATTTATAGAACGTATGCAGATATCGTAATAAGGTAAATCGATTGCGATTGTACGTGATGATGCGTGCACGTATACGAATTACCTCATTGCTATACAATACCGCGAATGAGAGGAAACGCATGGAAACTAACACAAACGGGTCCCCTTTACAATAGCAGCTTTTCATATTGTTTGTAGAACGTTTGTACTTAATATTTGTAGCAATTCGAGCAGAGGGAGGGAGAGAGAGAGGCAGAGAGACAGAGAAGGAGAGAAGAGCATTTCCACAATTCAGTAGAAGAGGGTCAATCAGGGCATCGCTGGCGGATTACTGCACATTCGCAAACTTAATGTCGCTCATGATTAGTGAAAATGATGCGAATAGCGCGTGATAGAAACGATGGTCGTGATTGCAGCCTGCAGAAACAGAATGCGCTCGCAGGCCGAACGTGCCTGCTTTTCGGAGAAGCCGCGTAGAGAGTGCATGCGTAATTAATGAAACCAATAAAGCCGTTCGCACCCGTGGAAATTCGTTAAATTTAATTGGACGCGAGTAATCCCACGGTCGAACGAGAGGAGGCCGCGTGGCGGGCGGCGAGGGAGACCAGGTGGATTCTAAAACGCGACACAGGGGAGAAACGTCCGAATATGCAATACCGGCTCGATAGTGAACGAACATCCCGCGTGGAATTCGAGGATCGTTAAAAGCGCCGGGTTATCCTCGCTACTATCATCCTCTCCTATCCAGGAATTAAAATGACGGACGGAAAAGGTGGGACGTTCTCGTGCGGAAGTTGCGAGATAATCTTATCGTCGAGCGACTCCGTACGTAAATAAACATTCGATAATTACCGAGAATGGTTTTCAGAAGCTTTAGGCTTCAATAATACAGTTACGCGAACGAACATCCAACGCGTCCTTGAGTCGAATCTCGATGATGATAATTATAAAAAGATATCTTGAATACTTCGCTCAAAGATACTTCAATTTGCACACTGAAAAAGTTATCTCTGTATTTCGAACTAAAATATTTGATGCATGCGATTTGGTTGACATTACCATGTTTCTTATTTGTGTCAAATACGACGTATTAGTGAGAAAACAAAACACACACAAACGGCAATTGAATTTTTTGATTGCTATTACCAAACATTTGATTAATTCTATTTTAATCAAATTTTTATTTCGACAACAAAATTCTCTTTTCAGCGAAATTCTCTTGCAACGAAATGAATCAAGTTAACACGTTCGCTACCACGATTTATTCGGGGAATTCTCTCTCCACATTATATTTATTCTCATATAACTACACTAAAAAAAAAGATTACGAAGATTTGGTAATAATTGTCCAGCCTGTGTTATAGGTACTAAAATTTAATACCTATAACACAGGCTGGATAATTATTACCAAATCGTCGTAATCTTTTTTTTCAGTGTAGTTACATGAGAACAAATATAAAATATAAAATATGTGCAGAGAGAATTCCCCGAATAAGTTGTGGTAGCGAACGTGTTAACTTGACTCATTTTGCTGCAAGAGAATAGGTACTAAAATTTAGTACCTATAACACAGGCTGGATAATTATTACCAAATCGTCGTAATCTTTTTTTTCAGTGTAGTTACATGAGAACAAATATAATGTGCAGAGAGCACATTTTCCCCGAATAAGTCGTGGTAGCGAACATGTTAACTTGACTCATTTTGCTGCAAGAGAATAGGTACTAAAATTTAGTACCTATAACACAGGCTGGATAATTATTACCAAATCGTCGTAACCTTTTTTTCGGTATATGTGAAACAGACTTGGTTTCTGATTTATTTATACGCGGATATACAGGGAAAAATGTTATCTATGCACACGTGATGTTGATAGGGAATGTAAAATTTCGAGTAAAGATGAATTCGAAGTGAGAGATCAGCGCGTCACAAACGCGTCGAGAGTTCGAAGCAAATTCGACTGCAGGCAGAATGCGTCATTCTACAGCCATCTGTTAGGGAGCGCAGGAACTCGCAGGCCGCCGCGTGCGAGTCCTGGAAATTCACGGCGATTCATCGGCGGTGCAGGGGGGCGATCGTGCATTTTGGAATCGCGCGATAATAACGGCTAACACGGTGCATGAATATTAATGAGTGTTAATGCGACACGGTCATTGGCGACGCGAAGACCGTGCGATCGCCGTGCGCCATATTATGCACGCGTACGATCGGCTGCGTAACGATTTTTCACTCGACCGCGTTCTCTAAGTGCAACACCACGCCGTCGATCGAGGATGCAATATATCGCTATTAATCCGGCTGACGAGTAACAACGTTTCGTGCCGGTCGCATTTACAGGAGCCGCCGTCGCGGCTCTACCGGCAGTCGTTGTTGCGAATTCGGTCGACACTGAAATATCGCATTTCCAACTAAATCTGGCCGAATCTAATTTTACGGGACCCATGTGCATTAGCGGATTAATGCACCTCCATTCCTGGCGGACCAAGTGATGAGCTGTATTTGCATGGCATTATACTTGCGTTCCCTATCCGCTATCTCCCTCTCTCCTTCTCCCTCCCTCTCGTTCCGCCCCTTCAATCCTGTCTCTAATTATACGTGTAGCACCACTATCGGTCCTCTTGCACAGGTGATAATCATATTACTATCCTATCAACGTTATTGCCATTCCTGAACGCATACCACGATC